GTATTGAACTCACACTCTTTGGGTCCTGTTACTGGATCTAACTAACGCCTTTATCCACTGTGCCATGTGTCCTTAAAGTCATCTGTGTATGAATTTCTGGGTATTATAAACCTAATGTCTTTAGCAACCATTTTTTACCAGTGCTCATGTATGAGTACTGGTAAAAAAAATGATTGCTGAAGGCCGAAGCGTACAACGGCCGAAACGTAATAAATATGGCGACAAAGATGAGGACAATAGTCCGAATAATGTAAATAGTGTAAAAATGTACTGTTGATTTTTGTTTGAGTGTTCACTATTTGCCCATAGTTGAGACCGTAACAGGTACTACCATCCCGGGTCACGGTAGACCTAGGAACAACAGCAATTAACAGGTGTTTCCACGCTCTTCATGACCTCCAATCTATTGATCAGAGGCCTTGCTACCGGATGTAAGTTAGCGTCACTGTGGCCAACAGGGTATACCTTTAATTTGAATAATGCCATCGGAGGTTAGATACTCCTGGAACGCTCGGAATGCAAATGGGTGTCCATTATCACTTCTGAGAGATCTGGGATATTCGTGTATCTGTAATATCATTTCCTGGTTATCCTGGAGGTATTTCAAGAACAAATGATCAGCCCCGCAGACGAATGGCACCAAGGAATGGTCATAACTAAAACCGCCTACGATCCAGGGTGCGGTGGCATGAAATAATAAGATGCCTGAGAGAAAAGTGAAAGTGTAGTTGGAATGAATGCCTCTCCAGAAGAGCTAAGAAACACAAAGTTTCCTGAACTAACCTGGACCTATGTCACCATTTATCTACTGAGCATTTCTGAAGGAAATTACTTACTTTTAATCGTGGCTGGCTGGAATATGTTCTCCCTTACCATATGTCATTCTTGGCTATGGCTCGGCGCAGATTGGATATGGTAGGGTCATTTACCGAAGTCTCTTGCACCTCTTGAGGAGTTATGGTATCAGGTGTAGAATCTTTGACTATACTTTATATATAGTTTGTTGTTTTTCTCTTCAGCTCTGCCAGTCATCCGTGGGCAGTCGGTTCAAGGTGTCCGCTTTGTTGGCTTTATCAAGGATGTCGATGACTTTATAGGTAAGCTGTTGCATATAAAGTAACCATCTTTCTACTATTGCTGAAGACGAGTAAGAGGAGGAGGACAACGCTTTCACCAGTGCTTTGTGGTTTGTTAATATCTGAAAATCACACAAGAAAATACGGATAGAGTTTTTTTTTTTGCATGCCCAGAATATCCCTGGAATGTTATGTTTATACTATGAATATCGAGATTCAGTTCGCACTTAATAACCTGGCTTCTAAACACCATCTAGGCTTCACTTGTTATTCTGGTTGGTAGATTAACATTGTAATATGCTATGACCGCGTTCTCTCGAGTTGGTCAAATGCATGTTGTTCATTTTTTCTTTCATATCCACTCTTGCCTCGTGACGTCCCAAAGTGGTGCGGTCACCATAGCAAAATGAGACACACACTTTGCACAGAAATAAGCTCGTCTGAGGAAACTGCATTTGTGAGGTATCTCTTGGCGGAGGTGTATCAACCAGAGTTTTTACATTTTCTCCTAAGATACCCAGACCATCTTTTATCAAAATATGGCCCATGTATTTTATGGAAGTTATCTTAATCTAGTACATTTTTCCGTTGAAGGTCATTACTCGTTCAGTGAGGCGCTGGATCATTTTAGTTAGTTTGGTGTCGTGATCCACCCCCGTCTTTACGACTAGTACAATGTCGTATGACATATTATAAGTTCCTGAGAAGTCTGTTATGACCTGACTGATGATCTGCTGAAATTCTTCTGAGGTCATATTTACTCTAAACATAAGCTTTTTTTTATCGACTGGGTCCATCTAGTGATTTCTCTGGAATCAGGATGGAGCTCTACCTGATGCTAGCCCATATTAAAGTCATTTTTAGGAGTATTTTCCTTAAGTCATTTCTTTCTTGTAATGTCTTTTCGATGGTAGGTACGGAACAATATTCACAGACGATAGATTCATTGCCCTTCGCGTGTCAACGCGTATTCTGACATCATCGTTTTTTTCTTTTTCATCATGCTCTTAGAAACCGTGGTTAGTAGAGGGCTGACCCATTGAACAGGTTGTATGACTCGTTCAGTGGCATAACTTACTAGCTTTTGAAGTTTGTCCATAATGAATCACCGTCAGTTGAATGGAATCCGGTGTATTGGTTAAATGATAAGAATGACTTCTGGATTAATTCTTAATTTCAGCTGGTAGATTTTTTAGTTTTCTCAGCCCACTGAATTCTTTGGAAATTCTGTTGTAGTTTTGACCTTACATCAACTTTAGAATATCGAGGAATGTTGGTGTCAATACCCACTTACAAGTTATGTCGCTTAAAAGTGATACTTGAGCCTGTGGTTCAACAAAGAATGGATCAGTATCAATATCAGGAACTTCCGCATTCAATAAACATTTCCCTGAAATGAAAAGAGGTTGCTTACTAGCGTAGGGGTACCATTTGGTCGTTTCTATTAGATGTTTAATTCATGGTCCTTCATTTTCCAGCTTCTTAAAGTCCACTACTGATATTGTTTTGTGCTGAACACCAGAGTCAATGACTAAAGGTTGTGTCGTTGACGATAAGGCTCAATATATCCACTGTTCCTGATATTTTAAATAGATGGATGTCATAATCGCTATCAACCTTGCTATCTTTTTCTTCTACACTTCGTTGAACTCCATTTTTGGTGTACTTGTGTGCGCTTCCTCCATTACGACTGTGTTTTTGATCTCTGTTTTAATTACTGCTACTTGGGGTGTCCATTTGTTTACTTTTATGGAACCATAAATTTTCAAAGAGACCTTTCTTCCCACATTGTATCATATTCCTCATGTATCATACTCCTTATGCATCATATTCCTTATATATCATACTCCTTATATATAGTACTCCTTGTGTATCATACTGCTGATGCAGTCTCTACCAAAGTCTCCTTGGCTTCCATATTTATATTATGCAATGGATGATATTTTGTTTGTTTTCGTCTTTGTTGCTATTTGATGTAGGTCGTATTCTGTCCCGATAACTTGAATAGGACATCCCAACGTTAGATTTTTTTCTCTTTACAGTTTGGGCTTTTAGCTCTGTATCTCTATCTATAAAAGGCAGGATGTGTGTGTGTGTGTGTGTGTGTGTGTGTGTGTGTGTGTGTGTGTGTGTGTGTGTGTGTGTGTGTGTAACGAATGCACGGCTGCAATTTTCGACGGATTTGCACCAAAATTTACATGCACATGCTCCAAGTTAGCGGGAAGGCCAAAACCGACGTTGCATTTCCCAACTCCCATCGATGGTGGAAATAATCGATGTTTTCATGCTTCTACGGCAGTTTTCATGTAGTGTGCGGCCATTTTCTACTGACCAGAGTGAGAGCCTATAGCTTGCTGCCACGAATAGGCAGGAAGATTCTATTGGCCAGCGTGAGAGCCAACAGCTGACTGACACGAATGTTAACTAGCATGCTAGCATGCAAAAAAAAATCGATAGCTGCATTCGTCACAAGTGGGAAAAATTTAAATCTGCATGGCACTTTACTCCATTTGGCTCATTCTCTTGCTTAAACTCAACGTTGATTCTGATTCTGCAGAACTGGGTTGGGTGTGAAAAAGTATTTGTTGTTAACATTGTTTTTTCATTCGGTTTTTCCAGTTACGAGTCCTTTTTTTAAAGCTGACAAAATGAACACAAAACGTGTTCATTTTGTTTAGTTCTTTTTTCGTAACAGATTTAATGTTTACTATAGAGCTTAGAAAAAACTCGCAGTGTGAGATAGGCAAGAAGTAAGACATGTAGCAACATTAGCACGGCAAAGGGTACTCCTTTAAAGGAAATGAAGGGCAAAAATATTTTAAGTCAAGTGATAGCGATTGCTGTATGAGTCGTACGATTTTTGAATCAAGCACGGGCAACGCCGGGCCATGCTGCTAGTACTTTCTATGAATGGGGATTTTGTTCTCTAACAAAGTCTTCCGACTCAGGTATTAAGTTGCAGGATTTCGCCATTTCCTTTAGACGAATAATGAAATTGTTAACTGTCTCTACCGTGTTCAATTATAACATCCAGAATTTGGTACGGGTTTTGGGAATATTTTCCTTATCAAAAAGTTGCTATTTGATATACAACCTAGTGGGTTCTTTCTGCATTAGATTCTTGTCCGGTTTTTTGTTCTGTAAAATTCTAGATTTCACCCTCTCCTGAGGCTGTGATAAAAATTCCCAAGTTAATTTTCCAGTTCACTCATTTTTGATGAGTTTTCCTAACCTGTCCAACTGGTTAGGTGGTTTTAAGGTCCCGAGCGCGACAACCTCAGACATTTTCGTATTTACTTATGAAAATGAAGCTTCTTTTAAAAAACACGATCCCCCCACCAAAAAAAATAAACAAAAAAAAAACAGTTACTTATCTTTTTTCTTGTAATGTTGAAGCTTTTCTTGTTCTTCCGTGTCCCTATTTCGTTGCTTTCGTTCTCTCGGCGCGAAGTTAGTTTTTGCAGGAAAATGGTTTGTATTCTTCACACACTTTTATAGTTGTTTTTTTTTTTTTCTTTTTTAAATATTGAATCTATCTCATTTTCGTCACCAGTTGTAACAAACATATGGTTTTAACATGCTTTATTTACATGGACGTTTATGCACAGCGCCGGTCAGCCGTATTGCTTCTACTACTACAAGTCTCGTGAACCCGAGATTCTAATTAACCCCAGAAAGTCTCATTGCTGCGAGACCTATTGGCAGTGCAATTGACGAAAAACCCACTGGCAACGTTTTTGAATTTGTGCCAAGCTATTTTTTTCCCATTGTCATTTCCATTTCCAGAATTTCGGATGCAAACATTGTTTTCATTTTTGGTCCAACAAATACACCACCAGCAACTTTCACATCTGACAACTTCGTAACCACTACTTGCATTCCGGCATAGGCTTCATCATTGCGATCTAATGCTGTTACAGCTCACGGTCACATCACGTTCAAACACCGCTTCCCGTAAGATCACCAACGTTAAGCAACGTCGAGCCTAGTCACTACCTAGATGGGTAACCGCTTGGGAATCCAGGTGCTGTAAAATTGGATGTACGGGTGGTGTAATGGATAATGAACAGGAATTGTTAATCGGAGAGCCGAGTTTCAGTTCCAGTTCCAGTTGGGTTCTATTCCTGTCCTGGGTATGACGATAAACTACGTCCAACAGCAAGGCTTCTGATCACGAGGTTTTGAGAAGCATGGTACCAGGTCTTAATTGCTGGTGTTCCCAGGTCCACCTGTTAGGGTCCCAGCTATGGGCAAATAGTTAACCCCAAAACTGGGGTAAAAACACGATGAAAGTGTAAAAATAGGTTTTAATACCAGGAATACTTTGTAAAAATTATTTCCAGCAATAAATTTTTGAAGAAAAAAAAAAAAAAAACTATTACCAGTTATACAATTTTGAGGAAAAAAACATTACCAGCAATAGGTTTTTGAAAAAAAATTATTACCAACAGCATATTTTTGAAAAAAAATTATTAGCAGAAATAGATTTTTGACAAAACAAAATATTACCAGCAATGAAAATTTTGTCGGCATTAAATAACCCATTGGGGTTGATATGCCGTAAAACAAAACAAGCCAAAACCAAACGCGCAAATGTCATTGGGAATGGTATAAATTCACCTCTTCTGTCCTCTTGTATCACTAAAATCATTATTATCTCCCCAAAAATTACCTCAATCTAAAAAGGTTTTCTGGCTTTAAATAACGATCAAAGGGTTGATAAACCGTAGAAAATAAATGGATCAATCTGTGACGAATTGTTTTATCAAGCCGAGTTTAATATTGAATTCGATATCCAAGGGGAAACAGATATATGAGCAAGCAATGTTACACTTACTTGGCCTTGTGCCACACTAACGTTAGCACCATAATCGTGTCGCCTTGGCTAGCGAGATAGATTTTCAAATCGTTAGCCAATATTACATGTATTGAAAATGTTGAAGACTTCACTAAATTGCTTCCAGCTATACGTCACAAAAAATGGATAGCCTATGAAGCATGCCTAACTAGACATTCCCACGTAAAGACTGCAACAGTAGGTTTCATGCCATGTTGCGGTGTGGAGTTAAACATTATCAAGTAGCTGTCTCTAAATTTTTGGCACTTCAGTTTTGTTATCATGATGAAATTTACGAATGACTCCCAAATTAAGTTGAGTTTTAAATAATTTCTGTTTTTGTTTATCAATTTTATTTTTAAAAGAAAAAAGTAGATTTACATTTTATTCACTTTATTTACCATTATTTGCAATGTTTTGTTGCTTCCGTTAAGTTCAGAGTATGATTTCACAGGTTTTAATACGAAAAATGTTTTCCAAAAATCTTGAATTTCATTTTCATTAAAGAAAGTTTTCCTCATCAAAGCATGTTGCAGCGGTCGTAAAGGATAATAATCGATTAGTGCAATGTTAGATGAATATGGCGGATGAGCTCGAACAGACCAACCGAGTTCCAAATCTTTTTCCTGTGTTATTTTTGCTGCATGCAACCTAACATTGTCGTGGAGGAGAGCCACATTTTCCCTTTAAACCACTGTGTACGCTGCTGTGCAAAATCTAAGGATGGTTAGTATATTCCAAATTTATTCTTATCCGCTACGCATGATTAGTAATTAGAATGGAACATTTTTCATTATAATTGGTTTCCATAAACGGAATTTTCTTACGACACAACATAACGACTGAAGATAAATTGTTTTTGCTGGAAAAAACCGTGAATCTGTAGCAATTAAACATTTTCTTGTTAGGATGTCATTATTCATTTTGTCAATCTCTCATTATATATGTATATATATATATATGTAGAAATATAGTTTTAAGGTGTGCTATATTTATGGGATAAAGTGCACAATATTAGAGATAGAGCGTATATAAATATAAATATAAAAAGTGAACATTGAAGTAAACACTCAAGAAGGCGACAGGCTGTTTCATGGCGTCTAGCATGAAACAGCTGTCGCCTCTGAGCATTGACTTCAATGTTCACTTATATATATATATCTATATATCTCTCTCTCTCTCTCTATATATATATATATATATATATATATATATATATAAATATTAAAATTTAAAAGTAAATAAGAATGTATATCTGTAAATGAACAATATGAAATAAAGACAAAAGGTTAAATTGGCTAAGATAAGTTTTCCTTGTCTTTTTTCATATCTATCTATCTATCTATCTATCTATCTATCTATCTATCTATCTATCTATCTATCTATCTATCTATGCCATGTTGATAGGGAAAGAGTGCTCAATATCGTAGATAGAGCGTTTACTGATATAGGCAGTGTGAGGCGGAAGAATCAATACTAAATAGATATTTAATCCGGTGTGTTTTACAGCTAAAAAAGGGCGTCAAAGAATATATATATATATATATATATATATATATATATATATATATATATATGTATTCAAAAATATATTGTTAAATATAACAATGTCTATTATGTTTGATCATGAGCCGTTATAAGCTTCATATAGTTGCTTTAGTTTCGGGAGAAAATAAAGACAAAAACTGTCCAACATTTAGATATTTTTTATTTTGCTGTTCCTCAATATAAGTTTTCGGGTCACATAAGCCATCATCAGAGTGGTTATATGGACATTACTACAGAGATGTTCGCCATCAAAAATGACATCCTGTTATGTTTACATAGAAGTTCGCTATGCACTGATAACGGTCGCGCAATAGCAGACGCAGATCGTAAATTCGTAATGCGGTTCTATGACGTCGTACATGATCACGTGAGAGAATGAAATGTTATCAACAGAACCATGTGTTTAAATGCATTATAATGTGTTGTGACTAGTTTGAAATGTAATTTTGTTGAGTGTGGGTTGCTTTGTTTTCATGTAGATGGCCTCCAATATCTTAAGTTTCTTTTTTACTGTGTGTATGTCTGAGTATTTTCCTTATATATATATATATATATATATATATATATATATATATATATATATATATATATATATATATATTTAAAAACATTTATAGTTGGACTATGCTAATTAATATAAAAAAAATCTGTAAACGTTCTCAGTACTGTGTCTGTCAGTTATGAGCGATGCGTGATACCCTTGGCGATCATGTACCTTTCGATACATAACTGACGAGGCAGATTTTTTCCCGGAGTGGGTTGCCATTTCTTTCTTCGGTAAACTAGTTGCCATTCAAGGCGATAGTACCCGGTCTGTCCTGATATTTACCCATAGTCGGGCGGGGGAGAAGAAGAGGATTCATACATTTTCCAAGGGTATTAGCACGTAAGTGAATGCAATGGAATTGACTAGAATTCGAACTAGGCTCTCTGATTCCTCTTTCCGAGCCACTATGCATTACTCCACCGTAGAGTTTAAATAAGCGAAGATCTACAAAGCAAATTTCGAAAGCGAACCTTAATATAGATTATTGGACTATTAAAAACATCTGCGGAAGGCCAGTAAAAAATAATCCAAGAAATCTGCCACATCCTGAAAGTAACCATCAAGGTGAAGCAATGGTGAAACACCGGTGTGTACATAAAATGGTTCAATAAATTACAGAATCGTTAAAAGTATTTTGTTTCCTTTGTGTGAAACACTGGACAAGGCTATCATTTTCTCCAATGGATATATGGATGTTACTGATATGCAAGTGCAAATTGTTAAACATTACCCTAAATCGGTATTATATTATAGTAATAATGTCTGGATGAAAAAAGGCTCGAAAGATACTTTGACATTCTGATTGGTTCGTATGATGGGCAGAAGCTTGTGAACTCGAATGGATATTTATATTGCACAAATTAAATAAAATAATTGATAAAGAAGACAACGGATTTTATAGAGATGACGACCACATATTTATTGAAAACATTACTATTTAAAAAGAAATTGATTCTGTTAGAAAGAAACTATTCAATTGTTTAAAGATTTAGGATTTAATATAACGTTTGATACAGGTTTGAAAACTGTTGAATATTCAGATTCAAAATCTTAACGACGTACTGTAACACACATACCCACCAAACAAATTGTGAAATGAAATATATCAACTTTAAGTCAAATCATCTGAAACGCATTATTAATAAAATTCCTACATAGGTTGTCACGCAAATCATCTTCTGAATATATTTTCTAAAGTGGAAAAAAATAATTATCATTCGGCATTGTGGAGAGAAAGAAGCAAAATTCTATTACAATACAGAAATGTCAAATCAATCTCTGAAAAACATCAAATTAAAAAAGAAAAGAAAAGGAAAACTCATTTAGTTTTTCCCACAATTTTATTTACAGGTAAAAACCAAACTTAGCTCAAGGATTTTTTTCAGTTTTAAATAAACATTTTAGTGATAAGGTCACTTTATTTTAGTAAGAACACTGTAAAATTAGTTATAGAATTATGCCCAATATGGAGTGTATTATTAAGGGACATAATAAAAAAACTGCTAAATTGTAAATCTAACAAAATATCACTTGTAATTATAGAAAACCTTAAGATTGTCGTCTAAATGGACAATGTTTAACTAACAACATCGTTTATAGAGGTGAAGTCGAGTCAAATGAACTCAGTACCATAAATTATATTAGATCGACAAATTGCATATTTGAATAAAGATACGAAAAGCATATAACCTCTCGAAAGATAAGTAAATACCGTAATAACACAGCCCCAATTAAAATACATCTGGAAAATCAAAGAGGGTAAAAACAGAACCCAAAAATAAAGTGGAAAATAATAACAAAAAAGTAAAAGTTATTCAGGAGGGAAACAAATTTAGTAAATTATGCCAAGAAGAACAAGTGGCAATTCCCAGACCTTAAATTGCTAAATATGAAATCGGGAATCCTATCGGGATGCGTACATAATACCAAGAAGCATTTATTGGCAAACATGGCACCTGGAGAAGGTTCAAATCTGGGTATGCACCCCCCCCCACACACACACACACGAAAAAGAAAATTACGTTCATATTGGAAATTGACGTGGATGATACAATTAAACGCGAAGGATTTTAAAAGATATAACCTAGCCTGGCGATTCTTG